TTTATACAGCATCTCTGTGTATGTCAGGGGATAAGATTTATTTGAACAAATCTTCCTAATCTTTACTTAAGTAACCAAATGCTGTGCATGTATGTTTGAGAGCCCGTGCGTCTGTCTGTCTGTGTAATGTGATTTAAATTTTAGGAGGTACTGTGTGTCTTCAATAAAGCATTCTTTACATTCATTTGTGCATCATAATAAGAACGTGGATTACTCAGCTTATAAAGTACTTTGAACCTCAGATTCTGTGCTTCTAGCACTGACTTCCTTGCAGCTCTCTGGGGAGTCACCTTGAAGCTGTCTGACTATTTCTGTATAAAATGTTTACATTGCACCTTCTCTGTAAATCCCTTACTTTTCATTTTGAGAACTATCACCAATCTTTCATTGCCTTCATCTATATGAAGATGGTATTATATTTTTAAAAGCCCCACTTCCCAATTAGTTCTTAAGCAGAGGCTCTGTTCACTTTTGACAGAGGATGCAGATTAGGAGACTTATTTTGGAGAAGTTTCAGCTTCCAAATTGTAAAGCACCTTATCATTTTAGAAGATTAACACAAATAAATTAGTTTATAAGAGGCTTTCCTTAAAAATTACACTGTGAAGTAAATTAGTACGTTGTCTGACTACCAGCTTTGGGAATAATTCCTTGGAGAGAATGCAGAAATGCCCCATTTTTTTCTTGGAGTTCTTTTAGATCCATTTCTTTCTTATGGAAACAATGACTCTCCTTGCTTATTGTGTATAGAAAATTTTCTCAGAAATTTTTTGCTTTATCCCCTTCTTACATATCCTTGGTTATTCCTGGTATGTCAGAGGCTGTGTAATGAAAAGGTGGTATTTGGGGTGGGGACAATGTAACTCATATCACACTGTTCTAAAAAGTGTATAGTAACTTAGGTTTTCATTGTTATGTATTGAATTATGTCATGTACTAAATTTTTCCTGTTAATTGTCCTGAACTGGGTCGGATTGTACTCTTTAAGTAATTAGTCCATAAAGCGCACAGTTACATACAGATTATTCAGGTTAGGGATTCTGTAGCAAAAGGAACACTTACCTTAAAAGTGAAATTCAAATCTTTGCCTGATCAATTGCCCTAATCACAGAGGAAGTCTGCATTTTTGCTCAAGCCAGGTAAGTAGGTTGTAATTCTAAGCGGTTTGGTTTACTAAGCATGATTAAGACACCCTTCCCTTTGAGGTTTACCCTTTCACTTTAAGGTACAACTGTTTATCATCTTAGGTCAAAGGTTATAAAAAGCAGTCATCAATTAGAGCTTTATTGGTTGTAATTGGTAATGCTCTGAAAGGAGCCAGCTGAACTGAATCTGATAATAAAAGACTCTTTGTGAAAATATTTAATAAATTAACACTCTGTCGTGGACCGGGGAAAGCTAATTATAAAGGCCGAGATTGTTAATCATGATGTTTATGTTCTTCAAAAGCACAGACTGCTCCATAATCATTAGACCTCAGGTTTCTTTCTTTTCTGTGTTTAAACCCCAGAGGGGATGCTCTTCCGTGCCTCCTGCCTGGGTATCGCTACAGGAGGAAATGCCAAGACAAACACAGGTTATATGGGCATCTGAAAAATAAACACGACTCTGCCAGAACATCAGACTGCCTCTGCTCTTTCCTAGAAGGGTCAGAAGTTTATGTAGATTCATTTTTTGTAGGCTTTTGAATACAATAAAAAGTGGAGGCATTTGAAAATAATGATTTTTTAATGATAAATTATCTACCAGAGCAATTACCCTTTCTTTGTAGCTTATTTTCTGAGATGTTTTGACATTGTTGTGGCTTTTGAAATGCAGGCATTTTTCTGACCCATAAAGTAGGTTTTCAGAGTTGTGACACAAACCATGCTGACTCCTGAGTGACCTTGTTGGGGGAACACTTTGAATGGGTTTTTACATCTGGGAATGGAATGTTTCTAGATTTAAGCAATAGAGGGCATCTTGGGGTTGTTCTTTACACATGTTCCTGCAGTCTGATCTTTAGGGCAGTTCTAATGAAAGAAACCCTGCTTTAGGCCTGCTGTGCAAATTAGCCATCTGGTGAAGTGTAATATCCCGCTGAACATCATTATGGGGCCCTAGGAAGAGTGCTCCCCTTTACAGATGGACACAAATTAAAATCGCCCTTTAAGGTTTTTTTTCTTTTTTAAATCTCTGAATAAACCTGTCTACACTTGGTTGCTGTGACAGTTAAAAGAGTGTTCCAGCTGCAGGCAGGGTGGTGAAATTACAGGCTTTGCCCAAATGGAAATATTGCTTCCTGCAGACAAGCCGGAAGAACAATGGTACGCATTTCCCTTCTTCCATTCACTTCCTTTGTTCTTTGTCTAGGTGTTTTTCTGTTTTTCAGGATTATTTTCTTTTACAGTGATAAGTAAAAGAAAGTCTTTTATAGACGGCATACCACAGAAAGACTGCTTGGTTAAGATTTGTGTAGACTGCCAATGGCCTAGTCTGTCCTCCTTTGCATACTTTGTAGACATACTGCCCACATGAGGCAGCTTCTGATGTTAGCCTTTCCCCCTTTCTATAACATTACACAAAGATTCCACTATTGTTTTAAGACATAAGGCTCAATAACTACATAAAATAAGTGTCTGTGCATGGTTATTCCATATGATCCATGGAGTAGCGACCCTGCCCTACTGTCAAAAACAATATCTGTGGCTTTGTCTGTCACCTGTGCATATCATCCAGACACTATAAATCACCTCCAGATTAGCCATGGTGTCTAACCCAATGCAAGTCTGCATAAGAAATTGTTACACTTACTGTTTAGTGAATAGAGAAAAGGAAAATAGCCTATAAGTGTTCTGTACAGACACAGTTCTGTGAGTTTTTATTGAAAGAAAATCTATTACATTTATTTATCCACATCCCTCCCCCAGCTTTTTTTGCATTAGAGTATAAACACATGCCATAGTGCTGGTCTTAGGACAGTTTGGAAATAAGTTCTCTCCTTCCTCCATGTGGGACTCCAGGGATTGTACTCTGGTTGTTGTTGTTGTCTGGCTTAGATATAATACCTGCTAAGCCGTTTTACCAACTTCTATTCCATTTTGGAATATTTCTGACCCATAGTTGGTTGAGGCTAAAGATGCAGAGCCCACATACATAGATGGCTGGCTAGCTAGTGTATACATTTTTTACCTCTATTAGGAAAGACATCCGTAGAAAGGTTTTTTTATTTGACCTTTCTCTCTTCCAATCTTAGGCAGACATGATCCCATTGTTTTTGATCGTGCACATTTGTAATGTTTATCTGCAGAATATGTGTTTGAACTTGGTTAGAAGCTGATTTTCCTGCTTCCACATACCTAAACACAAAGCCTCATTCATTTGTCCACATTAGATGGCAGTCATCATTGTTTGTGTTTTACTTCTGGCTAGGCGAGAACTTAGACAAATGAAGAAGAATTTAGGTTTTTTACTTGTGTTTTTATTTTTGTTTTCAAACATTTATTCGGTGATTCTGACATTTGTATGGTTGGAGAATACGTGCTTGAGGAAAGCAAGTAAGGATAGTTTTGTGGATAAAGACGTTGAACGTTGTTTTCCAGAAAGAATTCACTAAAAGGAGCATGCATATACAGTGTGCTGCTACTTCTCTGTGGAAATGTGTGGGTGGAATACAGGTTCCCAGGGGGATACATTTAGAGGAGAGTTCACCAATGAGTGTATGGTAACCATCACCAAGTATTGTTGCGGAGGGTGGCTTTTATGTTCACTTTGCCCATTTCATGTTTCTAAAAGTCATGATTGAGCCTCAGGTTAAGAACATTTAGTCACAATGAAGTGTTTTATTACAAAACCCTCTCAAAACCCTCTCAGTACTATCTTCCTAGGGATGCTGTCACAAGTACCACAAACTATATGACTTGCAACAACAGAAATATGTTCCATCCCAGTTCTAGAAGCTTGAATTACAAATTAAAAGCATTTTGGCATCTTAGAGGTCCACACCCTTTGAGACTATGGGAAGAATCTTTTTTATTTCTTCCTGGCATCTGTGGGTCCCAGCAGTTCTTGGTGCTCTAGGTCTGTGTTGACCCACCTTCCTCTTTCAGCACATGCCATTCTCCCTGTCTGTGTCTTTTTGGGTCTACTTTTTTGGGGATATCATCCATAGTATACTAAGACCCATCCTCCAGCAGGCGTGATCACACAATTGGAGTGATCATATCTAAATTGTTGCTTGTTCCAGCTAAAACATTTAGAAATTCTGGGAAGGATGTGGCTTTGGGGGAGATACTGTTCAACCCAGAACAGAACTTGTGAGTGTAGAGCTCATGAGCCAAATATTGTTCTGAACACCACTCATGTTGAGTTCAGAAAACCTACCCAGTGTGTTTCCCAGGAGAGCTATGAATGTGGCCAAGTGCATTTGTCATATCACAGTGTCAAAAGGTTGGACACCCCTGCCTGGGGGAATACTGGAAATAATATATATCAAGAATTATGAGGGATCATCTCTTTTGTTCTTATTCTGTCCCTTCTTGGTAAGACTCTACCTGAGAAAAGGATTTGCCATCCTCAGCTCTCGCCTTTCCCATTTTCTGTTGACCCTTTGATTATGAATGATTTGAAAGCTATCTTTCATTCCGAGCATTTTTCCTTCTAGAATGTTTTATTTGTTTTAAAGGGACATTTTCTTGCTTACTATAACATTTTAAGGTTGTTTATTTTACCTTCATTTTTATGAATTTGTGATTATTGACTCAGAAACCAGCCTTGCTATGCTGAAGCTTGTGTTCTGATCATGTAAAGGTCACTCCTGTCTATCCTTCAGGGTTTGGTGATTAGGTCCAATAAATGGCCATAGTTGCTTTTATTATCTGTGATTATTATTATCATTATTACAATAGTAGGTTTTGAGATATATGGTCTTCTTCAAATTCCGTACCTGAAATCTACTACATTCTTTTCAATTTCAAGGATAATTTATTCAATTATATTATTTCCTCTTGCTTGTTTTACAGGGTGCCCGAGAAACGTTTGAAAATTACTACCGAAAACAGAGGCGAAAACAGGCTCGTTTAGTTCTCCAGCCTCCCTCAAACATGGTAGGTTTGCTACTTGCATTTTCCATACTTTTTCCCTTTTCTTTCTGGTAGCTGAACATGTGTGCATGTGTGCATCTGTGTCTGTGTCTCTGTGTGTCTGTATACCTATGCATGTGTAACTGCCCATATCTGCTTGCTGTCAGTCTGACACATCTTTGGTGAATGTGCCTTGAAGTAAGAATAGCATTAAACATTCCTTAACTATTATGTGCCATCTATTATTCTAAGTTCTAGGTATGTATCAGGTTAGTTAGTTCCCATTGTTAACATGCAGAATCATGGCATTATCATTGTGTTTATCTCATAGCCTATGAGATTAAGCTTCCTGAGAATAAGTAATGATTTTTCACATCTTAAAGTAATAACACAGAAACAGTAATTTTGCTTTCTTTGTTGCAGCATGAAACTTTAGATGGCTACAGGAAATATTTCAATCAAATTGTAGGGTAGGTACATATTTAAGTTTCTATACTTAATTTGTAAGACTTATAAAAGATATACCTTTACTTGTGAAAATTTCTTACATTCTTTTTGGCAAATTCAAAAGAAAAGACTTAATTCTTCTTACAGTTTAGAGGGAACATCTTCTGGGTCATGGTAACACACACCTGTAAGTCAGTGCTTGTGGAGGTTGAAAGAGGAGGGTCATCCTGGGTTGCATAGAGATATGCTGTTTGAAAAATAAAAAAACAACAAACAGTACAACTTACTGGTTTCAGCATTATATTCTTGGAGGGTACTTTTGTGACAAAATAAATGAAAATGGACTCATAATGGAATATGCTTGATGTTTTGTTTCTTCATTCTTTGTTCCAATATGGAACAAGATAATCAATCCCATTGGCAGAATTTTTCCAGACAGTAAAATATTATAGGTCTAAAAGAATTTAGCCATTCTGTCACAACTATTTGGCTCTTTGCCAGTCTAAAAACAGCTATGTATGATTCAGAAATCTGTAAGTAAGACTATGTTACATTAAAATAACTTTTATTAAACACTTTGCTGCCAGACTGGTCCCACAGGATGGGATGCAGTGGTTGCTCTCATCAAATGGACATAGTGGTGTGTAATTAAGGTTACTGAATAAAGACCCCCATATTCAAGCAACTTATTCCAAGTATGAGATGGCAACTGTGGTTAAAAGAAAGGCAACAGAATTTAATTGTTCCATAGAGCTTGCTTGCCCACTTCTTCCTCCTTCCCTCACTTTTTCTCTAGCTTTCTGTCTTGTTTCTTCCCTTGCTCTCTTTCATCATCAGATTCATATTGCTTCAGTGTAGTGAGTAACTCTCATTATGCCTATCATTGAGGTTTGAGGGATATAACTACTGTTAGAGTGATTGTCTAGCATGCATGGGTTTGATCCTCAGTAATGCATAAGACCAGGTGTGGTGGCAAACATTTATAATTCAAGCAAAGGGCCATAGGGGGTTGGAGGATCAACAGACTATCTTTGACTACACAGGCAGTTTAAGTGCCATGAGATATGAGATGTTGGTGTGGTTTTTTTTTTGTTCATTTAAAAAATCCCCTAATTAAGTTTTATTTTGATTTGAGTGAGCAGAAAGGTAACTGAAGATATGTTTTAAATGTACAGTAAGCCACAACAAGGGAATTTAAAACATAAGTTTATAATTTTTAAAAATATCCCAGCCTGAGCTTTTGTTTTTAGGCAAGGTCCTATAAAGTTACTTTTAAACTCATTCTGTAGCTTAGGCAAGGCTTACTTTAGCCTCCTGGGTTACTGGGGTTATAAGCTTGATTTGCAGACTTGTTTTGATGTATATTATGTTGAATTCTTAAAATTTATAAATTTTAATGCTTATAATCTGCTTAAAATGAGTTTCCTGTTTTTAAAACTATACTGAAAGTAGGCTGTATGAGCTGTGTATGCTTTACTCTTTCAAATTGTTGTGCTGTGTGGTTGACATTCGTTAGAAATGAAAGCTCAGTCTTAGTAGAGTGTCTAAGATATTAATATGATTGTAGATATATTCTCAACATGTTAAGTAATTTCATTTATTATAATTAATAGCTTTCTTCAGAAAAAAATTCTCCCTGAGTTAAATGCCAGCTATTAATATCATAGCTTAGTGGTCAAGATATAACAACTGTAACATCTAACATCTGTGCTTTCTTTTCTTCCCAATATCAGCTTTTTTGTTGTTGAAGATCACATTTTGCATACAACCCAGGGATTAGTGAATAGAGCCTACATTGATGAACTATGGGAAATGGCACTTTCAAAGACCATTGCAGCATTGCGCACCCATTCGGTAAGTAGCATGATGTCCCAGAAAGTGTTCACTTACCATTGAGAATCTGCATACTGTTTAGTGTTGCCCCGATTTAAAGTTGACACACATATCTTTGGCAACCCCTATGTGGGGATTGTGGAAGTGGTTCATTTAAATTTATGAGTTCTGCAACACTGAGCTTGCCTTGTTAATGCTATCTGCAATAAGAAACAGTCACTCACGTCTGTCCATAATATTTTGTCTGTCCAGCAGTGTTCTGTGTATTTCATAGACTTCATTCTCACTGTGTACAAAGTGATGCTATCATTAGTACATTGTTATGTGCTTCATATTTATTCATTCAAAAATACCTCATGTGTTATATACATTTATACATATAGGTAAAGGATTGCTGTAGTAAATGTTATGCTCTTTGCTTCTAGCTCTACAATTGACCTTCCTCTCTGCTTGCCCAGGCTAAGATGTCTAGACTTTTGCTGGCCAACTACCTGCTAAACTCATAGAAGGCAGTACGGGCAGGATGATGGACAGTTTATTAAAACTTACTGTTTTAAGCCATCAGTAAGTAAGAGCTTAGCAAACCTAAAAAGAAAGTCTATCATTTAAAAAACTACAAGTGAAAAACAAGGAAAGAGGTTATAGTATTTCCTGAGTGGGAGCGATGAGGTTCTGGTGAGCATATTTGAGTAAGTACTTGCAAGCAGCTAGTACTTACTGGGGCTGTTACAATTACAGTTACAGCTATTACCTTTTTTGTATATGTTCTATAAAACAGAAGAAAATATTGGAAAGACACCAAAAGAAAACCAAATCCAAGATAAAAATAGTTCTTTGAAAATTCATGAGTATCAGATAAGAAATTTAATTCAAAGATTAAGGCTGCATGCCATTTCATCATCAAGAAGACAAAGCCAAAGTCAGAAGTTTATCCCATAGTCATAAAGAGGTGGAAAATATGAGAGGAATAGCTAAGAAACATGAATAGTAGCAGAGACTTTGGAATATAACTGATTGAGGTTGAGAAAATACAGTGTCCAGCAAGTTGCCTGTAGTAATAGAATAGTAAAATAGAAAGGATTCAGTGAGTGACAGTGAGGAAACTGACAGCAAATCCAGATGAACAGACATGCAGACTCTTCATCGTATCCATCACATTAGCTAGTTCAATGAAAGGTGAGTTACATTCAGAAGTATTTAATGGACACTTCAGATTTTTTCAGGTAACAGGCTTTAATGGCCACTTCAAGGTAATTAAAACATCTTATCCAATAAAATATGTGGCAGGAAAATTGTGAAAAATAGAAACCTTTAAACAGAAAACTTAAAATTAGGTGGCTTGAGTAGGTCCATTTATGTCAATAACCCAGTAAGTGTAGGAAAGGTGGACCATGACAGTGCCTTGGCCAGTTTTTACATAAGAAGAAGCAAACAGTGTAGAATGAAAGTAAAGTAGAAGAGCTCCAACAGCAGGATTGGGGCTGTTTTGTTATTGATATTAGTTTTGACACCAAAAAACAAGGGTCCTTTACAGGGAACAGTGTATGTAGAAGAAAAACATACGGGAATGGGAGAAACTCAAATGTGTCCTCTTTATGGGGACATTGGACATATTGCCATCAGATCCTGAGAGGTTACATGGAGAACAAAAAACAAAGTTATAACTGAGGTAATTAGAATATCAGAATTTATGAAAATTCTAATTGGTAACATATACTCTTTAATCTGCCTGTGAAAACTCTCTTCTAGGTCAGCTAATTAATCAGTTGTGTGCGGGCAAGGTTATATATGGTATTTATTTGCAATTTTTGTTTCCTGTTTATTTATTCTTGTTTTATATCCCCTGTACTGTTTAATACCTTTTTTCTTCATTGTATTATTAGACTTACCTGGATGCCTGTATTACTGATTTCATGTTTATCTTATTTAAATGACCAAATCTTTATGTCTTTTTTACATCACCAATTTGTCACTTTTAATTTTCTGTATTTCATTTTATTCCATAATTATGGTTATTTGGCATTATTTTCTATAATTGTAATCACTGCAGTGTTTGGTCAGGTTATTTTCTTTTTTTTTTTTCCTTTTCTTTTTTTTTTTTTTTTGGTTTTTCGAGACAGGGTTTGTTTTGGAGGCTGTCCTGGAACTCATTCTGTAGACCAGGCTGGCCTTGAACTCACAGAGATCCGCCTGCCTCTGCCTCCCGAGTGCTGGGATTAAAGGCGTGCGCCACCAATGCCCGGCCTGGTTAGGTTATTTTCAGTCTTGTTTTTTTAATATTTGCATAAAAAGAAAGATAAACATATATTTTGAAAATGTCTTTAGTCACTCAACACAAGTTTTGATATAAAGTATTTTATTGTTGCTCATTTTTAAATAATCTATCCATTTTGGTTTCTTAAAAATTTTTTTTAATTTTAGTTGATTGCTGAACCATCTTTTTTTTTTTTTTTTTTTTGGTTTTTACGAGACAGGGTTTCTCTGTATTGTTTCTGAGGCTATCGGTCCAGCCCGGCCTCGAACTCACAGAGATCCGCTTGCCTCTGCCTCCCGAGTGCTGGGATTAAAGGCTTGCGCCACCACTGCCGGGCCGCTGAACCATCTTTTTGGCCCCATTTTGTTTTTTTCCTTAGTGAATTTCAAAATGTATTTCCATATGTCAAAGAATTTGATCATCTTACTAAACCCCACCTCTTTATTTCTTTTGTGTTTGAATCTGTTGTTACCTTGTGCTAAGAAATGGTTAGACACCTCCAATAGGTGCTTTTACCAGCTGGTGCATTAGGCAATGTCATAGTAAAAATGTAATTTTTCATAAGATATTTTTCTCCCTTTTCTCCATTTCCTTTAGTCCTACTGTTCTGATCCAAACCTTGTGTTAGATTTGAAGAACCTCATTGTACTCTTCGCTGACACACTTCAGGTATGTGTGTTGTTGACACTTGTCTTTCTGGAGTAGAATTCCATCAGCTATGAGTTACTGTGTTCTCTCTAGAGCCTGGTTCACTCCTTTGAGTTTTAAATGTTTATTCTTTTCCTAGCCCTAGATATTTCTACCTCTTTATAACAAGCAAGGCTTTATTTTGGCTAGTTATGCTCTCTTAAATAGTTCATAAATCTTTTTTTCCCTCAGAGGAAAAAATTGCTTGCACCATTTGGAAAATTAGACTTTTGGTTTTTTTTTGTTTTTTTTGAGACAGGATTTCTCTGTGACTTTGGACGTTGTCCTGGGACTACTCTTGTATACCAGGCTGGTCTCTGGCACTCACAGAGACCCGCCTGCCTCTGCCTCCCGAGTGCTGGGATTAAAGGCATGCACCACCACCGCCCGGTGAAAAATTAGACTCTTAAAAGTGTTTGTAATTCCATCATAGCACCCTTGTATCTTGTAGTGTGTTCTACCACCATCTTTTTAGTGATGGATGGTTTGAACCATGTTAGAGTAGCATTAGGTATTAGTGAGATGATAGCAGCTGCACTTTCTCTCTTTTCTTTTCTTGGAAAATTGCTTTGGGTAGTCAGTAGTCATAAAGGGAACTCACCCAAGAGTATATGTTGGTTTAATTTTTTTATCATTTTCTTTTTTATGACTAACCTAGGAATTTTGATGTGTGTGTTTTTGAAGAGCTAAACACTAGATGTTAGGTAGAGATGAACAATTCTGATGTCATTTTTTTTTCATTGCTGTTTAAATAATGAAACATCTTTTGGCACTTAATCTTACTTTTGCTTGTGTAAAAGACTCCTTTTTTAAACAAGTCTATTTTTTCAGGTGTATGGTTTTCCTGTGAATCAACTTTTTGATATGCTTTTGGAAATCAGAGACCAGTATAGCGAGACTCTGTTGAAGAAGTGGGCAGGGGTTTTCAGGTAAGTGGCTACAGTTGTTTCCATATTCCTGTCCTTGCTTGCCCTATGCATTTGCGTCTTTTGGGGAGATAAACACGACTTTACAAAATATAATGAGCAACAAGAGCATGTGACGTAGATTTTTCTAAGTTCTCCAATTTATGATTCAGAAGTCAGTTGAATTATAATGATTTGCAAAATGATCTTCCAAGGTATCCTGTGTCAATATATTAGTATCTGCTGTGTTGGGAATACCCCATAGTCTGTTTTTTAAGTTTGCTTCCTTGGATAAAAGCAGTTTTTGTTTGTTTGTTTGTTTGTTTCACACCATCCAGATAGTCTTGTCTTTTTACTCTATTTTATACTTTTTGTTTTTCTTGAAGACCATACTTAGTTTGTTAGTGGTAGTTAAGAAGTCATGGATAGAAGTGCCTTAGGAAAATGTTTCATTTTATAGCCAAGAGACGTCTGTGTCCCAGGGTGATCTTGAACCCCGATCTTCCCTCCTCTACCTTTTAAGTGCTGAAATTATTGGTGTGTCCTACTGCCTGGTTCACTTTTGAGCCATTCACTTTTTGGTTTTTTGAGACAGGGTTTCTCTGTCTTGCTTTAGAACCTGTCCTGGAACTCGCTCAGTAGACCAGGCTGGCCTCGAACTCACAGAGATCTGCCTGCCTTTGCCTCCCAAGTGCAGGGATTAAAGGCGTGTGCCACCAACACCTGGTGAGCCATTCATTGTTTGATAACTCATGTTATCATTCATCATTTTTCATAAGCAGAGAACTGGCTTGTGACAGTCCATTTTTGCAGCATGTTATTTAAGTAGTTATTGCAACATACATACAATAACGAGAAGCTATTCTGGAAAATTTCCTCCTAGCACAGGCCTCTTGGGACTATTTCTTTTATACACATCTCTTGTTATAGGACGTAAATCAACATACAAAGTCAGAGCTTTTCTGTATTCTAAGATCAAGCATGCTGAGAAAAAAAACTCAGGATAACAATTCCCATACATCATCACTGTACCCTCAAATATATATAATAAACAACAAAGAAACCTAGGAATAAACCTAAACACCAAGGAGAAAGACCTCCACAATAGAGAGTAAGCACTCTGAAAAAGTTGAAGAAGACACTTTTGGTTAGAGGACCTCCTGTGCTCCTGGGTTGGTGGGGCTAGTATTATGGAAATAGCTCCACTGCCCAAAGTAACATACAGGTTCAATGTAAACCACTTTAGAATCCCAGCCCCTCTTTTTTTCTTTTTTTGGTTTCTACGAGACAGGCTTTCTCTGTATTGTTTTGGAGCCCAGTCCCTCTTTTATCCCAAGAGGTCGTCTTGCCCGTTGCTTGTATCTCCTTGTCAGCTTAACTTGTTTTCAAGTTTCTTTTAAACCTTCAACCTCATCTTTTAATCTTACCCTTCACAACAGTTCATGAGCATGTCATTATTTAGTTAAATTCGTCCATATATTATTGTAAACATATACTTCTAGAACTCAGATGTATGTAATGCTGATAATTGCTTTTGTAGTAGGGTTATTTATGCAGGTAATAAAGACAACATTGAATAGCCACAGCTTTAATGGGTTTCTGCTTTCAGAGGATTCTCAAGGAGAGATTACTTATTACTGGAAAATATTTGTTATTAGCAGAAGATAGAAGAGAAAAAAACAGTTATTTTTCCAATCGGGTGGTGGTGGTGCACACATTTAATCCCAGTCCTTAGGAAGCAGAGGCAGGTGGATATCTGGGAATTTGAGGCCAGCCTGGTCTACAAAGCAAGTTCCAGGACACCCTAGGACTATTTGACAGAGAAACCCTGTCTCAGGAAAAAAAAAGTTATTTTTCTTCTCTGACCGTTTCCTAGTGAAGTTAGAATACACTATCTAGAACATAATTAAAACTGTGATTATGATCCAATATATCTTACTAAAGTGATCAGCTTCAGTATTCTCTTCTCATTTACTTTCCACTTGCCTTTAATTTTCTGCCCATTTGTAAATCACAGTAACAGACACTAGAAGGTCATGTTTATAGTTGTGTTCCACTAGTTTCAGAGCTTAGTTACTTTCTGATTTCTTTTTTAAATGCCCAAACCAAAATGGCTGAATTGTAGAAGGAGTGTAGTAAGTTAAGGACTGGGAGGTGTTTATTTGAAATTGTGCTAAACATAAAATCATTAAATTGTCTCATAAAGTCTCTGTGTTGAGTAACCTTCCTCCCTTCCTCCCTCCCTCCCTCCCTTTCTTTTCATTTTTCATAGAAGCATACTTGATTCTGACAATTATAGTCCCATACCAGTAACAAGTGAAGAGACATATAAAAAGGTTGTAGGACAATTCCCATTTCAAGATATAGAACTGGAAAAGGTAAGGGATACATTAAGGTAAAATTCTCTCTCTCTCTCTTTTTTCATTAGATTAATTTCTCTGAAACTGAAATACTTAAGGTCAATAGATTTTAAAACACTTTCAAAGAATTTCCTCTGGGTCTTAGATGTACAAAATTATCTCATTAGGAATCTGTAAAGGGCTTGGAGGTCTTACATATCTTTAAAGTTTGTCAGATCATTGGGGCAATGCAATTTGGTTAAAATGTGAAATTCTTATTTTGTTGTACTGTTCAAATAGTTTCTTCTAAAACCAGACATTTAAATTTGCTGTCTTTGGTATAATTGTATTGTTTTGACTATGCATTGGGTGGTTTCTCCACACCAGAGTTACAGTACAGAAAAGTTTTCCTTAAGCAGCCCCTTCTTACCCAAGCTCTCTCTGTTGCACTTAAGCCCTACACATGACAAATGTGAAAATACAGGCTCAAGTATTGTCTCTTGCTATTTACAAAGTTACAGAGACTTGGAATCATGTGGTTCCATGGCACATGCATCACTGTGGGAAGTCAGAGCAATATCTCATACAGGGCAGGAACCTAGATGTAGGAATGATACAGTGCGGCTTACTGGCTCGCTCATTCATGGTTTGCTCAGCCTGTTCTCTTACATCATGAAGCATCTTCCCAACTATGGCATCACCCATAGTGAGCTGGACTCTCCCCCATCCATCATCAATCAAGAAAATGCCCTACAGACTTGGCTACAGGCCAATCTTATGGATGTATTTTCTCTGTTAAGTCTGCTTCTTTCTATATGACCCTAGTTGACATCAAGTTTACATAAAAACAAGCCAGCACAGTTGGTCTCTTGTCAACATAACACACAAATACATTGCTTATTAAGGTATAATCTTTCCTTTCTTGTTTACTCCCCAAATCACATGTTAACATCAGTATAAAACATTCCAACTTTTGAAACTTCTTCAGTCTTTTAAAAAATTCAGACACTTTAAAATTTTAGTCTCTAAAACTCTAAAGTTTCTTTCAACTTCAAAGTTTCTCTAGAATAGCCAATGTTTCTCTAAAATGTCCAAAATATCTGTAAAACTCCAATGTATCTCTACTGTGGGCTCCTGCAAAATCGAATATAAGTTAAATACTTTCTTTCTCCAAGGAGGAAGAACTAGGGCACAGTTGTAATCAAATCAAATCAAACCCAAAGTTTCACCAGTGTAAAACGTCAGTGTTTGATGTCTGGGATTCATGATCTTCTGGACTCCACAAATGGTCAGGGATACTGCTCTGGCTCTGCAGTATACAGTTTGTTTCCTAGGCTCGGGCTAGCTCTACTCCACAGCTGCTGCTTTCCTTAGTGGTTGTCCCATGGTAGTGGCATCTCCAAAATGCTTGTGTCTTTCTGAAACTATATACTCTCCTACAAGCAATAGCTTCCTCTGGGCTCTCTTCAGGGGACTCTGACCTGCCACATGCTGCCAAGCCTTAATGTCTTTCTATGACCCCTTCAATCCTGAGTCTTCAACTTGAACTGAGGCTTCACATTCCCTGTTAGCCTCTCCTAAGCTCTCATGCCAAACCATAGCTGCTCTTTATTAACCTTCATGCCTTAAAAATCAGTACCACCTGGAGTACTCTTACACATTACCAAGTGCAGCTGCCAGCATGTGGTGCAGCCTTGGCTCCCATTGGACCACAACCTCTATGTGCTCTAATGAGTCTTTTTCTCTGTCCTGCCAGTCAGCTCCCAAATAATGACAAGGAGACTTAACTATTAGTTATGAAAACTCAGCTTATCGCTTAGGCTTGCTCCTAACTAGCTCTTATAACTTCAATTAACCCATTTATATTAATCTATATTTTACCATGTGGCTTTTCACCTTTCCTTTATTCTGTATGTTTGACTCCGTCTATGTGTTTCTCCAAGTCTCCTATGTACTTAGATTCATCTCCTCTGGATTTTCTATCTCCAGAAATCCCATCTATACCCCATGCCTAGCTATTGGCCATTCAGCTTTTAATTATACCAATCACAGCAATACACCTTCACACCGTGTATAAATATCCCAGAACAATATGCTAACCCCGAGAAGATACTCTCAGATTTATGTCCTCAGTGGTGCTGGTTTCTTTTTAATCATCACTAGTTTCTAGGTTCTAACTAACCAGCATTGATTGTCCTACTAAAGCAAAGGTTTTACTTAAGTAGGTAGGGCCTCTTTTTAAGTACAGCCAGTTCTTCAGCTCCAGCTGACTAGAACCACAGATTCTTTTTTTGTTTGTTTGTTTTTGTTTTTCAAGACAGGGTTTCTCAGTATTGCTTTGAAGGCTGTCCTGGAACTCACTCTGTAGACCAGTCTGTCCTTGAACTCACAGATATCTCCCTACCTCTGCCTCCTGAGTACTGGGATTAAAGGCATGTGACACCAATTCCCGGCTGAACCACAGATTCTTAAAGTTCAAGAGATCAAATTGCCCTATTAGAGTCTGTAAGGGATTCCCAAACTTCTCTTTTAAACTTTTCAAGCCAGGACTCCATCTTCTGCATTGTTTTCAATATTCTTAACTACTAAGTTCACATAATAGTTCATTAAGCCTCAAATAGTCAATAGCTTTTCTAGTCCAAAGTTCTAAATTCCTTCATGGTTGTCTGAATAAACTTGTGGTCAGGTCTGTTGCAGTCATACCCAACAACTTGGTACCAGGTTTTGACTTATGGTTTCTATTGTTATGATGGAACACCATGACCAAAAAGCAATTTGGGAATGATTTGTTCTAGCTTACAACTCTCAGGTCTTATCTTGAGAAGCAAAGGAAGCAACTCAAAGAAAGAATCTGGAGCCTGGAACTGAAGCAGATGCTGTGCAGGCCTGCTGTTTACTGGCTTGCTTGCTTAGCTTACTTTCTTATACCACCCAGATCTACCTTCCCACAGTGAGCTGTAACCTCCCACATTAATCATGAACCAAGAAATGCTTTAGGGCTGGAAAATGGCTCAGTGGTTAAAACACTGTGGCTGCTCTTGCAGAGGACCCAAGTTCGATTGTAAGCATACACGTGGCAGCTCACAACCACCTGTAACTCTATTTCCAGGGTATTGACACCCTTCTTATAGCCTCGCCAGGTACTGAATATATATGGTGTGTATGCATACATGCAGGCAAAATGCACATGTACATAAACTAAAATAATAAGTGAATAAAAATAATTTAAAAAGAAAATGTCCCACAAACTCACCTACAGCCTAATCATATGGAGGCATTTTCTTGATTAAGATTCTTTGTTTCCACATTAGTCTTGTTTGTATCAAGTTGTTTTATTCTTTTAAGTATTAGAAATCTCTTGGAAGTTTTTTTAAACATTTGATACTGTTAAGTCAGTACCTTATAAAGTAGGATAGTGTATAAGTGTATAATTTTCAAGTGTCTTAAATGGATTTAGTGACTTGCTTTCATTAATTCTTGCATTTACAGCAGCCATTTCCCAAAAAGTTTCCTTTCTCTGAATTTGTGCCAAAAGTTTACAACCAGATTAAAGAATTTATCTACGCCTGCCTGAAGTTTTCAGAAGATCTTCATCTAAGGTATAACAGAAGACACTGGGAACCAGTCTGGTGCTGAATTTGTTACTTCCTCTAAAATATATACTGTGTAAAATATTTGCTATCCCTTTAGCTATGAGTTTGGAAGCCTTGGTATAGGCTTTGAATGTGGGACACTCCTTTTTATAGTTATGATGGAAGGGAAAAGATTTCGAATAACCTAAAAAAGTATATATTACATTTTTGGCAATACCAGCAGAAAATTACTGGAAATTTTAGTTTAGTCTACTCACTTTACTATTCTACTAGATAAAATTTTATAGTGAGTTTGGAGCCATAACACAGTCTTTAAAATAGTATTGTTGCTCTGTTTGCATGTCTGTCTTAATCACAGGCTTCTTTGTTTCTTTGCTCATTTATTGGTTTAGCCATCTTTTGGCAAATATCTTGTCAGTTAGGTACTATTTAGTTGTAAGGACATTAAGAACCTAAAAGGAAGGCCTTTATCTCCAGGGAGGATTTTACCTAGCTGAGGACTGGAAAACTAATATTAATTGCTGCAGAAATTCAGGATCTATGCAGCAGCCACATTGCCCATACCAAGAGTGCCTACACTTGGTAAACTTACAAAAATAATGAATGAACAGTGCATATCATATGTCCAGCTTTTCTGAAAATAAGTTCTTTATTAACCATTCTACTACTTTGGGTTGAATATTAGTCTTCTGGTATGCTAGGCAAGTTCTATACTATGAGCTGGTCGTCAGTCCTCATTACTTTAAGATGCTGAGACAATATCTTGAGTTGCTCAGCACACCTTTGAGTCTCATCTGTGTCCTATGCAATACTTAAACTTGCTTTCTTCCTGCATCAGCCTCCTATGTAGTGCAAAAAGCTTTGTTAATTATTGTTCTTACTATAAAAAAATGAAACATGGGTATTGTACAATTAAATTTTCTATCTAAAACCAAGATTAATTTTATAGAAAAGCCCTCCCGCCCCTGAAATCAGATTCCTTTTGAATGGTAACACCAAGACATTTTTTCTCTATGGCTTCAATCCTATGATTGTAGCTGTACAATACACCCCAGTGATTGTACAGCCTCATATCAGAGGTCAGTCTTTAAGATCTTAGGTATGTTATTGACAGGAAATTATTTTAAGTCAATTGTAAATGGCCTATTTTCACTTTGGGGGAAAGATAATATTGGGATAATGTGGGTAAATTGTTTTTCTTATTTGAATCCTAAGTTTTTGAATGAAACTTTTTTAATGTTATAATAGACTTTTTCTTCTTTCAGTTTTTTCTTTTGAGAGTTGATTGCTTATTAATTCGTTGAGCCAAAACTTCCTTTGATGAGTTTTATATTCACAATTGAAATGAAATATTCCCTCAATTTTAAGAATTTCTGCATTTCTACTTAATACTGAATTGACATTTGCCTTTTACCTCAGAATATATTTTCCTTGTAAGTTGGAGTCAGAGATCATTTCTTAAATTAGAACTGTCTCAGAAAATACTTAATTTGTCAAGTGGGAAACATGGGAAAACAGTCCTCTAAAAGTGTCACCAAGTCAGAGAAACATTAGTTGCAGATTTCTTATGCAGTTTTAAGAAATAATTGTTAACTTTTCTGTATGAATATTTTCCCTTCCAACAGCTATTGCTGAAAATTATTATATATTAAGAAAAGCTGGATTTAAGAACAAGAAAAAGAAAACAAAAAAACCCTGTAGTTTATCCAGTTGACTATACCTTCAAATTTTGTATTTGAACCAATAATATCTGCTGAATATGCATTGTGCAAATAAAAAGAAAATAGCCTTAAGATACACACACACACACACACACACACACACACACACACACACAGAGAGAGAGAGAGAGAGAGAGAGAGAGAGAGAAGCTGTATTATCCATAAGTTCTGAAGCTATGTTGCTATTTTTAATGTTTTTGTCAGTAACAGGTCTCTTATAATAAAGTGGTACTTTGACATTTAATTAAAAGTACAACGCACATACAGATTTTGTTTTCCTTAACACTATGAAGTTATTCTTTGTGAAGAACTTTGGGGTGTTTTGGCTTTCTAAGCAAAAAAGAGAGTGAGTCAGAGAGAGAAAGAGAGGGAGAAGAAGGTGGAGAGGGAGAGGGAGAGAGAAAGAGAGAAAGAGAGAAGTTTGGAGACTCTGTTGTCTGGGTAAGTACCTCAATTGATGAGCATCTTTGGGGCCACTAAGAGAACAGGAGAGAAAAAGTGTTTTAATAGAATATTAAAATTGCCTTGAAATACCATCTTACCTCAATCTAAACAGCTGTTATCAAGAAATCCAACAGCAAATGTTGGAGAGGATTCAAAGAAAGAGGAACCCTTATTCATTGCTGGTGGGGTGTAAATTAACCATAGCCATTATGGAAATCAGTTTGCAGGTGCCTCAAAAATAATTAAGAATAGAGCCACCATATGACCTAACTGTTCCAGTCTTGATTTATATCAAGAGAACTGCACATCCTATCACAGATATTCATACATCCATGTTCATTGCCTCTCTATGAAATAGAACCAGCTGAAATGTCAGCCAACACAAAATTGATAATAAAAATCTGGTACATATTAAATAGAATACTTTTCAATTTTAAAGATAAATAAAATCACTAAATTGCAAGAAAATGGGTCTACTTAGACTGTTTAATTTTAAGTGAGGTCACTCAATCTCAGAAAGAATAAAACTCTTATGTTTTTTTCCCTCAGATTATAGCCTGTAATGTTACATTCGTGTTTGTAAATAAATACACATGTGTAGTATAACATGTGGAAAGGAGACTAAAAAGGGTAGTTTAAGTGATGAGGAAGATAAACCCAGTTAAAGAGGATGGATGTAAACTAATGTTTTATTTCTTGTTATTTTTTCAGTTTTTAACTGTTATAGGTGTGTGTGTGGGTGTGTAGGTGTGTGGGTGTGGGTACGTGTGTGTATTAGGTAAATGCATAAAAATATAATTGATACTGTCTCTGCTTCAGAATGGTTCCTTTTCTGAAACTGTGTAAATTAACCTGCACTTCTTTTTTAATGTATTTAGTTGTTATTTGCGTTGGTGTTTTGACTGCATGTATATCTGTTATGAGGATGTCAGTTCTTGGAGCTAGAGACAGTTGTTAACTGCTATATGGGTGTTAGGAGTTGAACCTGGGTCATCTGAAAGAGTAGTCAGTGCTCTTAACCTCTGAACCATCTCTAGCCCCTACCTGCACTTCTTAAATTATTCAAATGTGACAAAACAATCTAGGCAGATTTCTGTAGATAGAATTTTTCAATGAATGCAAAGTAACCATTTAATAGAACAAAATCTGAAGGTACTTATTAAAGTACTTGGAATACTTTCTGGCACACATTACACAGTATATATCATTGCTACCTTTACTACCACTGCTGCCTCTGCTTCTGCTAATCCAGCTACAACTCTTATTTCTGTAAGAACTGCTGGCACCTGCTCATTTGCCAAATCTAGTTACCCAGGCTGCAACTGAGTTCATCATTTACATTTCAGCGCCACTGAAGTTGATGACATGATCCGTAAGTCTACAAACCTGTTGCTGACCAGGACTCTGAGCAACTCCCTGCAGAATGTCATTAAGAGAAAGAACATTGGCCTTACTGAGGTAAAGTAGCTCTTAGTGAAGGTGACCATGCCAGATGTCCTGTGCATGCTCTTTGCCTACCTACATTTTTTATTGATGCCAGGGGTCTTAGCACTTGGGTACCTTGGTCCACGTTAGATTTGCTTGGCTTTTATTGTTTTGATGTCTCTCGGATATGATTGGTAAGTGCTCTATCACCATGTTACCTGGTGATTTGTGTCTCTGTGTGTGAAAGTGTGTGTGTGTGTGCGCACGTGCATGCTAGCTCGTCTGTCTGTCTGTCTGTCTGTCTGTCTACCTAAGAAACAAGCTTGCTTCACATGTCAATCCCAGCTCCCTCTCCCTCCCCTCTTCTCCCGCCACCCACTAACATCCCCAACCCCCACTCCACTCCCTAGGGAGGGTGAGGCCCTCCTTGGGGGATCTCTAGAGTCTGTCATATCATCTAGGGCAGGACCTGGGCCCTCCCACATGTGTCCAGGCTGAGAATGGGTTCCCAATGTCCATTTGTATGGCAGGGATAAATACTGATCTACTACCTGAGGATCGATAGATTGCCAAGGCCTCCTCACTGACACCCAAATTTAGGGGGTCTGGATCAGTCCCATGCTGGCCTCTCAGTCCTCAATCTGGGGTCCGTGAGCTCCCCTGTTCAGGTCAGCTGTTTCTGTAGGTTTGATCAGCCTGGTCTTGACCCCTTTGCTCATCACTCCTCCCTCTCTGCAATTGGGTTCCACAAGTTCAGTTCAGTATTTAGCTGTGGGTATCTGCCTCTGCTTCCATCAGCCACTGGATGAAGGCTCTAAGATGGCATATAAGGTAGTCATCAATCATAATTGGGGAAGGGCTTTTAAGGTATCATCTCCACTATTGCTTAGATTGCCAGTTGGTGTCATCCTTGTAGATCTCTGGACATCTCACTAGTACCAGATATCTCCTCAAATGTTTAATGACTTCCTCTATTATGGTATCTCTTACCATGTTCTCTGTTCTTCCCCTGACTCAACCTTCCTGCTCCAGCATGTCGTCCTCTCCCTTCCTCTTCTCCCTTTCTCTTTCTCCCTGTTCCCTCTCCCCTCCCCCCATGCTCCCAATTCTCTCAGGAGATCTTGTCCCATTCTCCTTCTCCAGCTTACCATACATATCTCACTGAGGGTTCTCTCCATTTCCCATACTCTCTGGTGGTAGAATTGTACTAGCCTGGTGATTTGTGATTGAGGTCCAAGAGAGGAAGTAATCGCTTACCACCTCTCCTAGTAAAGGGAGAAAGATCTTTTCACTCATTTGTGATAAAGGATAAACGGAAGTTTGACTTACTAAAACCTAGTCATAAAACTAGAATGTTAAGATATTTCCTTTCCTTTGGAAATTTAGGGTTTCATAGTCACATCTCACATTTCTGTTCACTGAAGGTATTGTGTCTCTGTTCACTGAAGGTATTGTGTCCCAAGTGAGAGCTTAGGCTAAGGAAATTTTTTCTTCAACATTTATAGGCTGCAAATCATCTGTTTCTTATAGATCTAGTAGAGATTCAGTGTCAGTTCCTCTAGAAATAATGAAGATTTCTAATTGCATGATGTGAAGAATTATGGTGGAATTCAGAAAATGATTAAGGATTCTATACAATATTGTACTATACTATACTGTAATCTGCTACACTAGACTATATTACACTGCACTACACTACACTCTACTATTCTATACCTATTTTATGTATATATTATGCCAACTTATACCAAAGATGGTTTCAAACCAGAGAGATGAGCACTGGCATGGAGTCTTTCTTTCTCTTCATTGAGATAAAGAACACCATGAGGTATGACACTGGCTGTGATGGGGCTATACTTACAACAGTTTTTAAAAGGTGGAAGTCCATGTAGGCATGATTTCGATCTTTTCCTCATTCTCCTGAATTTGTTTTCTATTGCTTAGAATAGAATTGTCATGGATTGACTTTCTGTTTCTGAAAATGGCCTAGCTTTTTTTTTTTAACTAGGGAATATACAAACAATGAAAAGTGGGAGTAGGGCCAGAAACTCTTCTGCTGTTATTAGATTGTATTGTTTCCTTTCTGAATTTCAATTGGGAAACTGTACTTTTTATCTCTATCTTTATAATGTTTCTTCTCCCAGTGAATACATTCTAAATAGTAATATAAATAGTAAAGCATCAAGTAGAGTATGTGCTCGGTTCCTGAGAATACATAGACACACTTGATTTGTCATAATAGGACATCTTATTCTAATCTTTTGGTTTCTCCTAATTTAAAAAATCCATTTTAGAGCCGGGCAGTGATGGCGCATGCCTTTAATACCAGCACTTGGGAGGCAGAGGCAGGCAGATCTCCGTGAGTTAGAGACCAACCTGGTCTACCAGAGCTAGTAGGCCTCCAAAGGAGGCCAGAGGCCTCCAAAGCCAAAAAGAAACCTGTTTCAAAAACAAACAAACAAACAAACCAAAACAAAAAACTAACCCAAAAAAGCAAAAATACATTTTATGCTAGACCTGACAAGCACTGTTTGCACGTCCATGCCCCAAATGCTTAGTAATAGCAGTCAGTATGTACTGGTATTCTCTATGGCCCAAATACCTTTTTAAATACTTAGCATGTTCATTTAATGCTCATATATTCCAATGATTCATGATGTCATTGTCCCATTTAAACATAAACCTCAGAACTTTCCCAAGAACACATGACTGAACTAAGGAGCAGCATTGGAATCTAGGAAGCCTGGGTAAAGGCAAAATGTATTCAATGTATGTTTGTATCCATATTGCTGTCAATATGTCTGTTTTGAGCTAAAAGACAGTGAATATGAGTGATTTTAAGTTCTGCATTAGTATTTAGTTCAGCATAAGCTTTGAGATAACATTTGAAAAGGGTTTTCTTCTGAAAGCAAAACTGAAATAAACTTTGTTCTTTGCTCTCTCTGTTACTGGAACCATAAGAATTAAGGACTGGTCCTGACAGCCTTAGCAAGTGAGTCTCAGTTACACATCCTCACTGGGTCGGTCACGGGGACAAGTAATAGTGAAAAGCAGAGAAGGGAGTTTGATTTAGTGTCCACATTGGAAAGAGGAGCAAATAGATCCAGTGACCTCCATGTTCATCTTCAGGATCCTGGCATGAGGGTTATGCATATCTAGGAAGTCCTGGTCTGCATGTGGACCTGCTCCTCACTCACCCAATATTGTATGAGCTCCAGTCTCTGCTACAAGAAGTTTGAAGTTGTCCGGTTACATGAAATCTCTTTCTAGGAGACAAGTTACCCCCCTGGCTTGCACCAGCCTTTTTCTAGAATGTAGTTACTCTGGGGAAGTTCTAGTTCTCTGAGGTCTATTATTAGTCTGATAGCTGAAGTCAAGATTCAAGTGTCTCCCTTTAAAATGTCTTTCCTCCTTTTATGACAGGTATATTTCACAATAAATTAACTTCAAACACTGTAACTGGCCTGACAGAAATGATGATATATAAGGAAGTGGACCCAGAGGTGTGCTTGTAGGTTATAGCTAACATACAGACTTAGAGTTGTGATTATGTTAGCTCCCAGCAGACCTGAAGCAACAGCTGCTTCTTTTGTTTTTGTTGTAATTTAGACAGATGACCACAGAACTGTGTCCTGTTATGTCTTACACACCATATACCTCCTACTCCAGTCACAACAGCAGGGGCAGTGCTCATGTTAGTTATGTTAGGATACCTTATACTTAAGTCAAAAATTTGAATGAAACTGGAAATTTGAACTAGCAGTCCATTTATTTTGGTATTTTACTTGTTTTGTTCCTGGAGATGCATAAATTGAATAATGGATAAAGCTTTTTGAGCTGTGCTGAGATGAGAGGGAGATAAAATACCTTACAGTTTTAGGTTAATTCATTCTTGTAAATGAGACTAGTGTTGCTATTACTATTTAGCTTTTGTCTCCTTGCAGATTTAGCAGTTGGGAGCCATTAAAAGTATGTGGCTTCTTACTTATAGCTTTGGGTCAATCATCTGGAAGTTTTGGGTTGGTGAAATCTCTGCTTCTGGAAGCCAGACAAAGCAGATCTAAGAAAAATATATATTATATTTGAGAAATAAAACCTACTAGGAACATATGGCTGACATTATTTAAGATGATGACTACATTTCTTTTCTGGAGTTTTCTAGAATAGAGTGCTGGCTGTACTGTCTTGCGTCCTCAGAGAGTGTGTAGGAAGAGCTGGTGCACTGATCCCCAAAGGGCATTCTGTGCTGCAGCTCTCTGACTGTGGTCCCCTCAGGGTATTCTGTGCTGAGGCTCTTTCACATTTACTCTCATACCAGCAAGGACAGATGGAAAACTTCTTGTTCCTAGTGGGATTTGTTTATTTATTTTCTTTGTGTGAAGGATTTTTTGTTTTGGTTTTTAATAGATAAGGCCTTGCTGTGTAGCCCAGACTGGACTCAAACTCTCAATTTTCATGCTTTAGCCTCCTGATGGATTGTGACTACAGTGGCTTCTGTCACTTGGTTATAAGAGTTGCTGTTTGCAATACACTTTTTTTCTTTTGCTGGACTGCTCTCATAGGACTTTATGAGATACAATTAACATGTAATCTGTTGCTAATTCTGTGATTTTGAAACGATGTCAAGGATTGTTTGAAATATTAGTTGTGTTTTATGATACCATTGAAGGTGCTCAGACTTTGATGATAGTCTGTATGTTGGATTGCTTCATTTCATTCTTCTGTGCAGTTAGCTTCCAACGCTTCTCCCTTGCAAGGGTTTCAGAAGCTGTCATTCAGGAGTGGAGATCATCAGACCTTACTAACAGACAGTGTTCCCTCTGAAAATGGCATGCATGTGTTATAATCCTAGAATGTTTAAATAGTCTATTCTGTGCTTGGCAGTGAAACATAAGGGGTGACTGACAGCCTGCTGATGCAATTCATGGTGATCTCTTGTGTTGACAGATCTTTTTAAAGTCATGATAAATTACTACTGTGCCCAGCATAGCTGCCTTTTTCTTTTTTTTTAAACTGCCAAAATCCTGCAAAACAGAACAATTTTCTCTTTGACTGCCACTGTTTTTTAAAATTTCTATAGCATGACATGATTCCTCTTATTATTAGAATTTCTTTTGATAGACAGAATGTGTTCCTTATAGGTAATGCTGATTTTAAAATGGCAATCTCTAGTTCTCCAGTTTAACTTTCTTCCATTTATGCCACTTATATTAAGACAACCTTGCCACTAGCCACCTTTCATTATTCCTGGGGGACTGTTGGAACCTAGTAGTTTTCAGGGGATTGGTGCCATTTTCTTTAGTGATATAGATACCAGTAAGTTGCCCTTGCTCCAGTAAATTACCCCCCACCTAAACTGGGTAAGCAATTCTAATTAAACTCAGCGGATCAAAGGCAGACAGAAGATATGGAGGTAGGAGGGAGACTTGTTGGAAAGAAGGGCTCCAGTTACAGAAGGTCGTGATGGGGATTGAAGGACTGGAAATGCCTAAGATTTATTATATAATTGTGTGAAACTCAAACAATTTAAAGTTTAGAAAAGAGTGATTTGATTTAGATGATCTAAGTGTGATTTTTGTCCCTTGTAAAAGAAACAGAATCTAACAGAGTGCAATGAATTGTTCATTTTAAGGGGTATGCTTTTCTCCCAGAGTACTTTAATGTTGGTGTTTGAGAAACAGATTGAGGATAATTAGGAAAACTGTCAAGATCAAGGGATTTATCTTCTCTGCCTTCTGTGTTCGGGTCATTTATCTTATAAACTAAACTTGTTTGTTGGCTTCTCACAATCATACTAACATGTCTATATGTTCCTTAGGGCTACTTTTGAAAATTCTGTTGCCTTTTCAGTTACACTTATTCTTTTACTAGCTGTTTATTCATTTGATTTATTCAGAAATTATATTTCTTTTGTCAAGCCTATGATTAAGAATAGCAGCTTTTGACTTAGTTTAGCATTAAAAAAAGAATATATTTACTACACAGTGACAAGTGCCACTTTAAATCGGGAATACAAGATTCTCTAGGGGACTGTGGTGTTTTCTTGGAGGACTCTTCCTGTAAAGTAGCCTGTGGAGCACCCTCTTGATATCTCAGGTAAATGAGCATTGTGTGTGCTTACTGTTTTCTAGCTTGTCCAGATTATCATCAATACAACCCACTTGGAGAAGTCCTGTAAATACCTGGAGGAATTCATCACCAATATCACTAATGTACTTCCTGAGACGGTCCACACCACCAAGCTTTATGGTACCACAACTTTCAAGGTGAGAACACATTAGCATAGAGGGAATAGTCATGAGCAGAGTCAGTGGGCACAGTCTGGGCCATTTCACATGTGGCTTCATTTCTGCAAGATGATTTATGAGATGTCTTAAGAATAAGGGAGACATAAATATCAACTGTAATGCTGTATTTGGTAACTTTCTCCTTTCTGTGTCTAACTTTTTAAATCTTAATTTTTAGTGACAAGTCCTTACCCCAAATAGTTAGCCATTTTCTAGTTATTTTACAAGGCCACAGGATTAGTTTCCACTAGTCTTAGTCAGAGAAAATGACACCTGTGTAAAACAGAAAAAAATTTAGTGCTAGGTAAGTTTCTGGAACATAAACACTTTCTCTTAGAAGAATCCTGTGAGTCTTAATAAAATTCTGTACATTACATTGTGAAATTTTTCATGGGTAGTAATCAGAAAAATATTGCAGTTTTAAACATTAAAAAGAGTTAATTTGATATAAAGATGAACCTGAGTGGAGACCAGGCCTTGTTACTTAGTTCTGGCTGTTCTAGAACTCTGTGTAGACCAGGCTGGCTCTGAACTCCCAGACATCCAATTGTCTTTTCCTCCTGAACAGCTGAGGTTAAAGACTGCCACCACCACAGTAGGCATGGTTTGAGTTTTATTGTTATGTGATTGTTGTAGATATAAAACATGTTATGTAACACTCAAAATCCAAAAATGATGCCAATTAGATATATAGTAAAAGTTTTAACTATGATCCATGTACCCTGTTGTTTCCCGTTTCCTATCCTTTCATCCTTTATCTGTTTGTGGGTATAGTCTCTCAAAAGTAGCCACCAAAGAAGAAATCAAAATCAATCCATTTAATGATCATTGTGTGTGGGAGAGGGACTTTTGGAAGAACTTAACTATCCTCTATTGCTAGAAATATGTGCAGTGTTGAACATGACCCCGTCCTTCCATTTGTATGATAGCTGCCAGATTCAGTGAGGTGTTTACATGATGACCTAGACATTCTTCACATTACCAGTAAGATTACTTTAGACAAATTCATTACCAGTAGCCCTAAGTTCATGCCATTCCTTCCATATTGCTCAGTAATGTCTAATTACAAAAGTAATGATACCTATGGGCAGTTGGTTCAACAGTCCTCACCATTAATCTATACACCACCCTCCCAGAAACTTAGATCATTTCTGTATTACTCACATTTTGACAATGTAAAAGATAGTGTTGTCACATATATTTAGGTAATAATGTCATGGTAGTAACTTTGCATAATAAGTTCAGTGCCAGCTCTGTTTTTTTATCCTGAATAATTTCATTCTGCTATTGGTTGAATTCAGAGATGAGGAACCTACAGAAACAAAGCACTGATGACATGTTAATATTGGTACATTTTAAAGAACATTTGTCTAGTAAAGAGGCCCTCAGAATGAATGAAAATGTGATATGAGTGCTGAGAGCTTCAGGAATTTTAGTAGGAATCAAAATTATTCTTACATGGGATCATTCTTAGAGTGTAGATAGAGACTTTATTGTGAAATGTTTCTGTTTGTTCTACTATGAAAGCCAAAATATTTCTTCAAAGAAAATGTAGGAGTAACTATCATTCAGTGTTAGGCAGAGAATATGGTGTTACTGAATTACAATATAAGACTCAGTAGACTGTCTTCCAGGAGAAGAATATGGTAGATCTACTAATACTCTCCTCGGCCTGTCTTATTTATAAGATTTCAACGACTTTTCAAGTTATGTTCTGAAATCTGTTTAAAGGATGCTTGGTACTGTGTTATCCTGGATTTTAGAAAGGAAGTTTTCATTTTTTTTTCAGATAGAGTTTTACATCTAGTCCACATTATCCAAGAACTCACTGTGTAATCCAGGCTGACCTCAAACTGTAGGTAATTCTCCCACGTCAAACTTCTGAATGTTGGGAGCACATATGTGAGTCCCCATGCCTAGCTAGCTCCAGTATTAGAATGCTGAAGAGCAGGTAGGATGCTGTTGGAGTTGAGCAGCTACTTAAATGCTGAGCTGAGGAGGAGTAGTGCAGGGACATTAAAGGTTGGACTACACTGCTTTGGTGGGAAACATTAAAGCATGCTGAAAGCTTATTTTTACCAGGGCTATTTCAGATAAGCCATCCCAGAAGTCAATGTAAACATGGCATCGAGGAAAGCTCCATGTTGTGTGTTTTCCTAAGCTACTGTTTCCTGAGACCTTTCCCTTGCAGATGGAAACCTTTATGCCAGAAAAGAGGCAGACACTCTCAGAAGGTTTCAAGGTGTTTTCTGACAGAGCTCCCTCTTGTTTCTTCTGCCATGAGTGATATAATCCAGCTGGCATGCTTGACTTTTCTCTGCTCATAAGGTTCTCCTGTCTGCTTTCAAACAGAGACCTAAGCTATTTACTAATTCACTTTATCATAAATACTGTTTATATACTTATTGTGTGACAATCTGTTTTTTTTCTTTTAGGAGAGAAAAAGTCTGTTGACTTAGAGGTTCTTTGAGGCACTGGGAACACAGACACTGTTAACTTCTGTAAAGAGCTGTAAAAAGTACTAGAAGACTTCCTTCTTCAGTTCTTTGTAAATTTTATTGATCAGATGTAGGGTTAGTGAATATCTTTTCCCATTCTGTGGGCTGCCTTTTTGTCTTGCTGACTGTGTCCTTTGCCTTACAGAAGCTTCTCAGTTTCAGGAGGTCCCATTTATTAATTGTTGATCTCACTGCCTGTGCTATTGGTGTTATGTTCAGGAAGCTGTCTCCTGTACCAATTCATTCAAGGGTACCTCCTACTTTCTCTTCTAAGAGGTTCAGTGCTGCTGAATTTATGTTGAGGTCTTTGATCTATTTGGACTTAAGTTTTGTGCATGGTGACAGACATGGCTTTATCTGCATTCTTCTACATGCTAGCATCTAGTTGTGCCAGCACCATTTGTTGAAGATGCTATCTTTTTTCCATTGTATATTTTTAGCTTCTTTGTCGAAGATCAGATGTTCATACATGTATGGGTTAAGATAGGGGTGTTCAGGCAAGTCTCCAAAACACCAAAGGATCCAATTAAAAAGGGGGCTACAGAATAAAATAGAGAATTCTCAATAGAGGAGTCTAAAATGGCTCAGAGGCACTTAAGGAAGTGCTCAGTATCCCTAGCCATCAGGGAAATGCAAATCAAAACAACTCTGAGACACCATCTTACTCCTGTCAGAATGGCTAAAATCCAAAACACCAATGACAAGTTATGCTGCAGGGGATGTGGAAAAAGGGGAACACTCCTCCCCTGCTGGTGGGAGTGCCAACTCGTACAGCCACTTTGGAAATCAGTATTGAGATTCCTCAGGAAAATGGGAATCAGTCTACCACAAGACCCTGCAATTCCACTCTTAGGCATATATCCAAAAGATGCAAATTCATTCAACAAGGACATCTGTTCCACTATGGTCATAGCAGCATTATTTGTAATAGCTAGAACCTGGAAGCAACCTAGATGCCCCTCAACTGAAGAGTGGATAGAGAAAATGTGGTACACAATGGAGTACTATTCATCAGAGAAAAACAATGGAATCTTGAAATTTGCAGGCAAATGGATGGCACTAGAAGAAACCATCCTAAGTGAGGTAACTCAGTCACAAAAAGACTAACATGGTATCTACTCACTCATATATGGATTTTATACATGGATCTGCAGAGTGCCAGCCTACAATCCCACTGCCAGAGAGCTTGGGAAACAGAACCTTCAACCAATGACTGATGGAAGCAGAGGCATAGCTAAACACTGAGTTGAACCCAAGAAACCCAGTGACAGAGAGGGAGAACTGATTAGCATAGGGTTCAAGACTGAGCTTGTTTAACCCACAGAAACAGCTGACCTGAACAAGAGGGAGCTCTTGAACTCCAGACTGATGGCTGGCAATCCAGCTTGGGACTGATCCAGACCCCCTGAATGTGGCTGTCAGTGTGGAGGTCTATCTAGGCAATCTATGGGGCCTTGGCTAGTAGATCACTATTTATCCCTGGCATACAAATGGACTTTGGGTGCCCATCCCACAATGACAGATGTTCTCTCAGCCTGGACTCTTGGGGAAGGCCCTAGTCCTTGCCCTGGATGTAATGACAGACTATGAAGAACCCCCATGGAGGGCCTCACCCTTCCTGGGGAAAGGAGTGGGGATTGGGGGAGGGGGGAGGGGAGAAGTTTGTGGGAGGAGGGGAGGGAGAGGGACCTGGGATTGACATGTGAAGCAATGTTGTTTCTAATTTAAATTTAAAAATAAAAAAGACATAAATGTATATATATATATATATATAATAGCTCAAAACATTTGAAAATATGAGATGAAGTTTGTATAGGAACACACACCCATACATATGTATATATGTGAATATACTTATTTGTATTAAATACATGAATACTTAATATTTTGTATGTATGATCATATATATGCATATATACACTAGTATATATGAACTCTCAAATTCTAGAACAGTTTGACCAAGACATACATACAAGTATAAGTATACATTTGAAGTATTTCTCTATTAATATTTTATCTCTTAAAAGTATCTGTGAAATCAAATTTGACTTCCTTATGCAAAGATCATTTCTTCACTATTTATACCTGTGTGTTATGTGTTATTGTTTATAACTTCATCCATTCGTTCATATTTACATACATATCACTTACACTTAGGGAAAATGATATCAACTTATTTGTATGTTGAGTGCCTAGGGAATTAAAAAATGTAAATGTTTACTTAGCACTTACAACTAAAGTTTAAATGAGTAATGTTCTATGCTGCCTCATCAAAAGCCAAATCACTGGAACATAACTTATGAGAGTGAGCATCAGCATATATGTTTTGGCTAATAAATAGGAAAAAACCTTACATTTCATTCATTGATATGGTATTTATACATTTTTTCAAAGGCAATATGAGTATGGAATTTCTATGAAAAGTTTTTAACTCTCATCAGTTGGTTATCCAGTACAAAATGGTCATACTTGAAAACACAAAAGCAGGTGACACTACACACACTAAGAAAGTTGTTCGTATGTACTTACGAATATGTGTATGTGTTATGAAAAAGAAGACACGAATTTAAAGAGAGCAAGGAGGGGTATATGGACGAACTTGGCTGGAGGAAATGGAAAGGGAGAAATTATATCAATACTTTAAAATCTCAAAATAAAAAGTTTTAGTGTCATGTTTAATGCTTAGTAAATAAAATACATAAATGTTTACAAATTTAAAAATGTACTAGACTAAATACATCAGATGCCTTCAATCTATTGTCTATCCAACAAGTTTTTAATAAATCATCTGGCGTGCTTCTGGTAGTCTTAGTAGCCTGAACAAAGTAAGTGTCCCTTTATTTTATGGAACTTATATTCTAATGAACTGATAAGTAGGTTTATTTAGCTAGTGGCATGGACTGGGCATGGGGTAGGGGTGATGTCCTGAAATTATAGTCAAAACATGAATCATGTAGAAATCTGTAGACGTGTATTCCCACTAAAGGAAATAGTAAGGCAGTGTGTTTTGGCATATTCAGGGATGACAAGAGGTCTATTTAGCAGTGTTGCAGAAATCACTGGTGGAAGTGTGAAAAGTTCTGTGTTGAGGAACCATTTTATTTCTATATCCCTGTAGGACAAATAGTTTTTATTCTGAAGTTTGATGTGGATTTCTGCGTGGGACTGTGGTGTGGTGATGTGACTTATCTTTGAATGTAATAATGGTTGTCATGTTGTTGTAAATTAGTAAGCCTGTAAGGTGGTGGTTCAGGTTGAATGTATTTGAAATAGTTCAGATGAAGAACAATGCTCATGTAGAGTGGTAGTTAAAAGTGGAGAAATGTTTTGAAGACAGAAATGGCAGATTTTTAGTACCTTCTTTAGTAAAAAAATTTAGGTAATTCGAAGATTTTTGAACTGAGTGAACTTTCAAATGGTAGTAGTATTCACTGAGAAGGGAAATGACATTTCAAAATTTTAATTAAAAATATACTTATATTATTTCCCCTTCACTTTCCTCCTTCCTGTCTTTCATATATTCATTACCTTCTCTTCTTTAGTTATTGTTGTTGCATATATAAATGTTTATGTATATATAGATACATATGTATCCTGCTGATTCTGTTCATTGTTACCTACATGTATATGTGCCAAGGATGACCACTTGGTTTTTCACACCCGACCAGGAGGTTTATCCCAGGGAAAAGTAATTCTTTCTCTTAGCAATTACTAATTGCCTGTACGTCTTGAGCTAGAGCCTGTGACGTTCCTCCATATGTACTAGGAAGTCAGCTGATTTTGGGATTGTTCAGATCATGTTTAGGGAGCCATTTCGTCAGATTTCATGAGTATACCTTCCCTGCCATAGCTAGAAGACATGTAACTCACTATAGACTTTCTGGTCTTCTGGTTCTTAGAATCTCTTTCTGCCTCCCTTCCCTCAGTATTCCCTGAGCCTTAACAACAGGAGTTTTGTTGTGGATCTATTAGTTAGGACTGGGCAGTCTATATGTTCAATTCTTTATCTTTTGACTAATTGTGGCTTTCTACAAGGGTTCTCTGGTTGCAAAACAGACGCTTCTTTAATGAGGGGTAAGAACTACACTTAGATAGAAGGGTAAGTATTTAGAATGTAATTATGTTTGGGATGCAGTTTGGCATAAAAGTCTTTTTTCATATCAGTAGTTTGAAGTTTGAGAAACAACAACCACAAATTCTATTTAGATTAGGAACTAGAAATAAAACAAATTACTTAATCTAACGTACAACTAATATATGATGGAAATTACAGAATTCTGACGAAAGAAACCAAAGATCTGTTTTGTGTTTATTAGTGTAAGGACAATGTTACCAGTGTTGGTTTTTCCTAACCCAAGTATCTGTTTACTGCATCCTCTTCAATATTTCAGCATTGTTTTGTTAATGTTTAAGTAAATTTGGAAAGGCAAAACACACAGAATGGCTATAAATCTTAAAAAGTACAGTTAGAGGATTGAGTACTCGAGTTTATGCCTTACTAAAAATGAAGGCATAGAAATGATATGGTATAACATTGGCAAGAAAACAGTCAAATAGATGAATAAAGTGAACTTCTTACCCTAAAACTTTGCATATATATAGGTATTCAACTGATCTTTTAGAAAGTATAAAAGCAATGTAATACAAAGTGGAGTGGAATTTCTTTTCAACAAAATATACTGAATGTCTGTGAAAACAGCAAAAACTACAAGAATCCCAGATGCATACCTTACACCTATCTAATATCAACTGAAAATGTAAACTCAAATTAAAGCATACAATACTACTACTACAACCCTTTGCAGATAGCTTAAGAAGAAATGTAAGTGACCCTGGATTTGGCAGTGATTTTTTTTTCAATGTGTAAGTAAAGTTTAGTCATTAGAGAACGCAGTGTGAAAGGTCTTTAAAAATTAAAAGTAGAGCCGTGTGGTGGTGGCGCACACCTTTAATCCCAGCACTCGGGAGGCAGAAGCAGGTGGATCTCTGTGAGTTCGAGGCTGGGCTGGACCGACAGCCTCCAAAACAATACAGAGAAACCCTGTCTCATAAAAAACCAAAAAAAAAATTAAAAGTAAAAATTCTATATAATTTAGTAATTCTGTTACATGTTCTTACATAGCTGGTCACCATAGTCAAGATAGGGAGTCAATCTCCAATCAATCAATGGATATATAGAAAGGGCAATGTGGTGTATAAACTCAGTTGGATACTGTATATTGCCTTATTAAAAAGGTAGTTTTGGTCATTTGTAGCATCTTGGATAATCCCAGAAGATATTATGTTAAGTAAAATAAGCATAGAGAAACAGATATTGCATGATCTTACTTCCATAATATATCTAAAAATATTGAACTCACATAAATAGAGCAGAGCATGACTATTTTGGTCAAAGCACACAACATTTTTTAAACAATTCAAGAGTCAGTCTTCAGTAGATAGCTATAGTTAATAACTGTATTGTATCTTGAAAATATCTGGTAGGATCTGTTTAAAACTTTTTCATCACAAAAATAACAAATATTTAAGGTAATGCATGCTACTCTGAGCTTTATTTGTGTGTGTTAATTAGTTCAATGTTACTGCATTTATTATGCAATTTACAATATTGGCACATTCAAAATATCTTGTTGAACATAATAAATACCTATAATTTTGTCAGTTAATAAATTTGAAAGCATTCTTCATGTAAATAAATAGTATCTGTGGCTGTACTATAAACTCAAAGTCATGCAAAATTTAAGTAAGAGAAAATATAGAATAGTATAATAAGTTAAAGACAGATTTAACTATTAGAAATTACAGAACTCTGTTTCTGACTGTGAAAGAAAGATTCCAATTATGCACTCTAGATTTCTGCCTTGGATTGAAAAGAACAGGTTAAGAATATGGATACTTTGAGCATTTCTGGGAGTCAGATGTGTCCATAAAGCAATCAGATAGATTGACCATGAGGTATAATGTATTTAGGATAGATCTGTGTTGAAGACATTCCTGGAAACCATGTAAATTAATTAAATCATCTAGAGAAATTAAGATTTGTGACTAGAGTCAGTACAAGCCATGTGTGAGCCATACAATGAATGTCATGGGAGGTATACTGTTAAATAGAGTGTTTAACAGAAATTAAGCAGCCTCACACTGAAAGATGAATGCCAGATGTGGTAGCAAGTTGTTCATGGCATTTTTCCTATTATAGTCCTATTATTCTGTACATAAACCATATTCATTTATCCTGATAATACCTTTCCTAGAAAATTAAGTTCAACAATACTTATTAGAGCCTTTAATAATTTAATGTGTAATGTGAATCTCTTATATAGAGTAATACAAACTGTGGGGTCTAGGAACTCTTTGCTACTGTTTTAGCATCTTTTTAGGACTGTGCTGTATAGTACAGATATTATGGAACATGTATACCAGCCCTTGAAAGAGCCTTATGAATGCACAGAGTTCTGACAGTAACCAATGACAGTAGATGAAGTTATAACATATGCATATTTACAAGCACCTGAAGGAATCAGAGCTTGTAGGCACCTTGGCAATGTAGGAGGGAACTTTTTTTGGAGTCATACAAAGAGTCAAAATGGAATCAGTTTCTGAGAGTAAATTTACTTTTTGATAGAAATGAGAAAATAAAAGGAAATAGATTGTAGGGGTATATTTTTGAGTATATTTTCCTCGTTTAATGAAGAAAAAGAATAGCTTTGCTTGTAGATCATTTAACCCTCTGCTCAGAAAGAGGGAGAAGACAATGAGTACATGTAAAAATTAATTAGAAAATCTTTCTTTGGGTTTTTTGGAAGAAAAATGTTCCTGAAAGCTCATGTTGTTTAACACTCCAGCTGTGTTTATAAGTGGGTATAGAAGTGTTTGTCTTTTTCATCATAGATATCTGAATGTGTTTTTACATTTAAATATTATTTCACAGGATGCTAGACATGCAGCTGAAGAAGAGATATATACAAACTTAAATCAGAAGATTGACCAGTTTCTACAGCTGGCTGACTACGACTGGATGACAGGAGACTTAGACAACAAAGCTAGTGATTACCTAGTCGACCTCATTGCCTTCCTTCGGAGCACATTTGCTGTATTCACACACCTTCCTGTAAGTGATAGTTGCTTCTGTTTTGCCCCACATAATGGGAAAAGGGTGTCTAAAACTAGCTTTGCAAAAGGGGTTCATTTCTCATTTAAGATGCCAGGGACCTCTTTAATGTCTTAAGAGCTTCTAGTAGGTACGTAAATCCAGAAAGTGATTTTCAGGCCTCCCATGTAATTTATTTTCAAAGACTGTTACATTTTCCCTACACTGTGAGGTCTTCTAAGTAAGTTCAAAGTCATTAGTATGGGACATGGCAAATACCTTGTAAAGAGTATCAAAGGGACTAGCTAGTTAACAGGTAAGGTCTGTTTCTGTCAATTTTAGGACATCCTTTAATTTTTTTTTTATAATTTAATTCTTTGTTGAACCTCTTATCTTTTTATCTACTTTGTAGTTGTCTTCTGGTTATATTAGTCACAATCATTTAAAGTTATGTTTATTACCTTATTATTTATGCATATATATGGGTTTGATTTTTAGTGATATGCTCATGATTTTTTTTGTTCTTACACTTTGTATTTAACTGCATAGACACTGCTTTCTAATAATGTTCATTCTTTCCCTTATTGATTAAGTATGTGGGGTGATTTGCTGTATTTGGGCTGATGTCACAGCTTGGATTGCAGTTGTTATGCACCTTTAGTCATCTTTGTTGCTAGTTAAGATTCTATAAGTAAGTGATAAGTGCAGGCCTCTCATGTTCTTCAGCACCAAAGATAACTGCAGAAATTTTTTCAGGCAGATATTGAGAAAGAGTGTTACTAATAAACTGACACACTGTTAAAAATAGCTTTAAAAATCCAAACAACATAGGCATTAGAGAATCCCTCTCTACCAACAGCCAAAAGAACATAATTCCACCAACAACAGCCATTGCAAATCGAAGAAGGATGAGCAATCAATGGTCATTAATATCCCTCAATGTTAATGGCCTTAACTCACCCATAAAAAGACACAGACTAGCAGAATGGATTCGAAGACAGAACCCTTCCTTTTGCTGCATACAAGAAACACACCTCACCCTCAAAGACAGATATTACCTGAGAGTTAAAGGTTGGGAAAAATTTTTCAATCAAATGGACCCAAGAAACAAGCAGGGGTAGCAATCCTAATATCTAACAAACTAGACTTTAAAATAAAATCAATCAAAAGAAATGAAGGAGGTCATTACATACTCATCACAGGTGAAACCCACCAAGATGAAGTGTCTATCCTGAACATCTATGCCCCAAATACAAAGGCATCCACATTTGTAAAAGAAACATTATTAGAACTTAAATCTCGTCTAAAGCCCCACACAGTTATAGTGGGAGATTTCAACACACCACTCTCACCACTAGACAGGAATACCAGACAGAAACTCAACACAGAAGCAAAGGGTCTAATAGAAGTAATGACCCAACTGGGATTAACAGATATCTATAGAACATTTCATCCACATAAAAAAGAATATACCTTCTTCTCACCACCACATGGAACCTTCTCAAAAATCGACCACATACTTGGCAACATATCAAACCTCAACAGCTACAAAAAAATTGGAATAACTCCATGCATCTTATCAGACCACCATGCTTTAAAATTAGAATTCAACAACAACACAAATTGCAGAAAACCTACAAACTCATGGAAATTGAATAATGCTCAACTGCACCATCCCTGGGTCAAAGAGGAAATAAAAAAAGAAATTAAAGACTTCCTCGAATTCAATGAGAATGAAGACACAACATACCCAAAACTATGAGACACTTTGAAAGCAGTGCTACGGGGGAAGTTCATAGCACTAAGTGCTCACATGAAGAAACAGGAGAACAGTTATACCAGAGAATTAACATCACAGCTGAAAGCTCTAGAACACAAAGTAGCAAACTCCCCCAGGAGGAGTAGGCGCCAGGAAATAATCAAATTGAGGGCTGAAATCAATAAAGTAGAAACCAGGAAAACAATACAAAGAATCAATGCTACGAAGAGTTGGTTCTTTGAGAAAATCAACAAGATAGACAAACCTTTGTCCAAACTTACCAAACAGCAGAGAGTGAACACGCAAATTAACAAAATCAGAAATGCAAAGGGGGACATAACAACAGACTCTGAGGAAATCCAGAGAATCATTAGGTCATACTTTGAAAACCTGTACTCCACAAAATTCGAAAATTTAAAGGAAATGGATGATTTGCTGGATAGCTATCACTTGCCAAAACTAAATCAAGAACAGATAAGCAATTTAAATAGACGTACAACCCCTATGGAAATAGAAGCAGTCATCACAAGTCTCCCTACCAAAAAAAGTCCAGGTCCAGATGGCCTCAGTGCAGAATTCTACCAGAAATTCAAAGAACAGCTTATAGCAATTCTTCTCAAAGTGTTCCACACAATAGAAGCAGAAGGGTCTTTGCCAAACTTTTTCTATGAGGCTTCAATAACCTTGATCCCCAAGCCACACAAAGATACAACAAAGAAAGAGAACTTCAGACCAATATCCCTCATGAACATTGATGCAGAAATACTCAATAAAATACTGGCAAATCGCATTCCAAGAACACATCAAAACAATCATTCACCACGATCAAGTAGATTTCATCCCAGGGATGCAGGGATGGTTCAACATACAAAAATCCATCAACGTAATCCACCATATAAACAAGCTGAAAAACAAAAATCACATGATCATCTCACTAGATGCTGAAAAAGCCTTTGACAAAATCCAACACCCCTTCATGATAAAGGTCTTGGAGAGATCTGGGATAACAGGGACATACTTAAACATAATAAAAGCTATATACAGTAAACCAACAGCCAACATCAAACTAAATGGACAGAAACTCAACGCAATTCCTCTAAAATCAGGAACAAAACAAGGCTGTCCACTCTCTCCATACCTTTTCAACATGGTACTTGAAGTTCTAGCTGTTGCCATACGACAACAAAGGGGGATCAAGGGGATACAAATTGGGAAGGAAGAAGTCAAACTTTCACTGTTTGCAGACGATATGATAGTTTACATAAATGACCCAAAGAACTCTACCAGGGAACTCTTACAGCTGATTAACACCTTCAGCAAAGTGGCAGGCTACAAGATGAACTCAAGAAAATCAGTAGCCCTACTATATACAGATGATAAAAGGGCCGAAAAAGAAATCAGAGAAACATCACCCTTTACAATTGCCACAATTGTCTGGGGTCCAAGAGCTCTCCTCTGTTCAGATCAGCTGTCTCTGATGGTTTTGCCAGCCCATTCTTTGCCAATTTGCTCATCGCTCCTCTCTCTCTATCACTGGGTTCCATGGGTTCAGTTCAGTGTTTAACTGTGGGTGTTTGCCTCTGCTTCCATCAGTCACTGGATGAAGGCTCCAGGATGGTTATGGACATCAAGTTCATTATCAGGGGGCATTCGAGGTGGTCTCTCCACTGTTGCTTAGCTTGCCAGTTGGTGTCATCCCTTTAGATCACTAGAGGTCACAATGGTGCCTGATCTGTCTTCTAACCTATGACCCTCTCCCTCCTATTCTACCCTCCACTCAACCTTCCTGTTCCCCTATGAACTACTCTCTCTTCCTCTTCTCCCCCCTCTCTTCTTCCCAGCTCCCACTCCCCCCTCACATCTCGCCGTGTTCCCCATCTGTTCAAAAGATCTTGCCTCATTCCTCTTCTCTGGGGTACCATGCATATCTCTTAGGTTCTTTCTTGTTTCCCAGACTCTCTGTCAGTGGAAGTATAGACTGGCACTATCCTGATCCATGTCTAAAATCCATATATGAGTGAGTACATGCCATGTTTGTCTTTTTGTGACTGGGTTACCTCACTCAGAATGGTTTCTTCTAGTGCCATCCATGTACCTGTGAATTTCAAGATTCCATTTTTTTCTGCTGCTTAATACTCCATTGTCTAAATGTACCACATTTTCTCTATCCACTCTTCAGTTGAGGGTCATATAGGTTGTTTCCAGGTTCTGGCTATTACAAATAATACTGCTATGAACATAGTGGAACAGATGTACTTGTTGTATGAATTTGCATCTTTTGGATATATGCCTAAGAGTGTAATTGCTGGGTCTTGTGGTAGATTGATTCCCATTTTCCTGAGGAATCTCCATACTGATTTCCAAAGTGGCTGTAACAGTTGGCACTCCCACCAGCAGTGGAGGAGTGTTCGTGCTTAGTAGAAAGATTGACTTTCAGGAAATTGTACTATTTTATTTCACTTTACCCTACTAACAAGACAAAACAAATCTAGCACAAAAATATTTAAAACATTAATTGGAACTGGAGAGACAACTCAGTAGTTAAGAGCACTTGCTGCTCTTGCAGAGGATCTGGCTTTTGTTCTCAGTACCCACATGGTGGTTTACAACCTTCTGTGCCAGCTTCTGTCCTTTGGGCACTAGGCACACACACAATGCACTTATATGCATGTAGGCAAAACACTCATATGCATGTAATAAAAATAAGTAAATCTTTAAAACATGCAAGGTGAACTTACAATTATGGGTAAAAATAAATGAAAATTGAATGTCAATTCTAAGTGTGGTAATAAAGTGATTTAGTAAATACTATATAGATTTATTATAGAAACTCAAAGATGGTTCTAGATTTTAAAAGTCTCTTAATATTTGACTTTCCCAAATACTGTGTAAATGGCAGATTCTATGTTGGTATATAATTATAACATAATTATAAAGTCATATGGACATTATGTAATATCCTGTGTTCATTCTTGATTTAAAAACAAAATTCACTAAAATATGAGTAGAATAATGCTTTAATAATAAGAAATTCAGCAGGTACTATAAATTTAACAGGGTTATATTAAACACTTTAACATTACCATGAGGTTAAAATTTCTCACCACCAGTGGTTTAGAGGTTCCCTTAAATAAACATGATTTCTAAGATCATATTATAATTGTAGTAATCAGACATATGTGCCTCAGTGTGGTTTTTCACGTCTACAACATATCTGAATAAATTATGAGCAGCAGAAATTTCTTTCTATACTTAACAAGTT